CTGTGGAGAGGCGGGGCTTCCAGTCTGCCACCCCAAGAGAACCCAACTAGCAGTGAAGCACATAGATGATGGGGTGATGGAGGGTGGGCAACCGTCCCACACAGCAAGTAAGGCAGGCTGTGGGTCCCACTGTGAGACTGCTGGGACTCAATCTGGGAACTAAGGTTACCGTCCCATCTGCTTCCCGGTAATCGACAACCTGGGGACAAAGCCTACAGGACACCCGTAGGTGGATTATGGGACCTGCAGCCAGCCAGCCCTCATTATATGGGACGTCGGTGTGGCTGGCTGCCCAAGACTAAACTTCAGGTGGGCTGTCAGGGTGGTGGGTTTAGAACGTCTACTCATTATAGCAGGATGATTGGTTGCCAATACTGTCGGGAACTGAAGCGGCTGAAGGTTGATGTGGCTGCTCTCTCAGAGATGAGAAGACCTGGTAGTGACACAATTAGCAGCTACACTATTACTTGTTGGGCCACAGTGATGGGTACCATCTCCAGGGAGTAGCCATCTTCAGCCATTGGTAGTAGAGGTCACTTCGGTTGATTAGCTTACATTTGGTTTCAAGATATTTGCATTGTTCTGGGAACTTCAATGTGGTATCTGGATGTGACTGAGCTGGCTATGAGATGTCTGTCGGTCCTCATGGCTCAGGAGCTGATGCTTGCAGAGAGAATAGCTTCCTCTTCCAGCACTTTGCAAAGTTCTGGAAATTGAAGATTTCTGGTTCTTGATGCTAGCGCTCTAACCCGCATTGTTGGACTTGGTATAGTGATGCGGGTATTACGGCCAAGGAAATCGACCACATCCTCGTTAGCATTACTTGGAGGATCTTAAAGAACTGCAGGGAATATCATTCTAATGATCATCCTAGGGTGTTTCACATGGACCGATTGAGGAAGAGGCTATCTCTGGTTGTTTCACAGAACTCAGGGACCTGACAGACTCTGTACTGCTGTGGGACATCTTCAGTCATGCAGCTCAAGAATCGATTGATGAATACCCAGGAGGAAGACATAATTTCATCTCGTAGGAGACACTGGAAGCCACAGACACACGCATTGTTCCCTGGTGCACAGGACTAGGTCACTGTTGAGAAGGAACATTTTATTAGGAATCTTGCAAAGGAGGTCGAAGGCTATTTCT